TTCACTTTATTCACGTATTTTCATAAGTTTGCTTTTCATAAGGTTTTATAATTCCTCACGGAAGTGATATGAAAGTTTGTAATATAACATGTAAGATATTATTCAATCCAAATCTAGCAAATAATTTAATTATTGATGCAGATTAGTCCCCAACAGGATTCTTATACTACCCCATTCCGCCACCATCATCATCTGCATCCGAGAGATATTCTCATTGCACAATGGTTTTCCTGATTAGAATAGGCCATTTGATTCATCACTTGGAGTACCGCACGCCTTAATTAATATTGCCACAATATTTGACTAACATCACGGTGGAAATAATTAAATAGGTTACGATCTCATTATTCTGGGTAGTTGGGGAGTGGACCATACAATTTCTCAGCCAAAGTCTTGAAAATCGTATTTTGCGAGCTGCCCGCTTAAATGTTCTTTCAAATGAGCGTTAAATTTTTGATTGATGCAAACTGTAAATACAAAAATTGTAGTTCTCGAAACTGTACATTTTGCTGGAAGGCTGGAAGGTTGCAAGGAAAATTAAATATCTTGTGAACAACGCTTTGCAATATCGAAAAAAAAGTCGCCCGTGTCTTTTGGTTCAAGAATTTCTTAAATCGGATAAACGGTTTAAAAAAAAATAAACAAACTAAAAAAACTAAATTTTTGAAAATAATGCGCGAGTGGAAATCCCGTTCCTAGTTTCAATAGGCTTTGCCGGACTCGAGTGAGTTGTACTTCAACACCCTAGCTCCAACTGTTCGCAGGTTATCGCCATTTAATACCGCGACTATAGAGAACAGACAACACTGAAAAGAGAAACAGTCTATTTTGACCAATGTACTCAGTAATCTGTAGATCGATAAAAATTGACTTGATTTTAGGGAAATAAAAACTTCAACTCCGTCCACGTTTACAGGGTGTCTACTGAAGAATAGGCTGTAGCATATTTTTATGAAATAGCTAATAAGCTATATTTCTTTTTAAATGTGCAACCAAAGCGATAAAAAAGAGTAATAATAAATTAAAGGATATCACATAATCTAATTTTTCTTTCTCGATTGACAAAAACGTCAATCCATGATTCCATAACATTTATTCGGCTTATAGCTAAAGCTTAAACCTCACAATAACGACAAACCCAAACGCAAATTTCGTTAATGGGGACCAAAAGCTGTTGGTTACTAAATATGCTTTTGTTTTGATATGATTATACATTTCTCTGTAAATTTATTGTTTTCTGTTGAGCAATAAATCTATAATTATTACTATTGTTATGTAGCAAATAACCGTCGTAACCTGTCGTATGGCTCCGACCCCACAGGGCGTTACGCGGAAGGCCAATCAAGAGGACGACCACTCGTTGCATCCGCTCAGAGACGGAGGGACCCGAGCCTTGTATATGTTCATCGCTAGATGTTCAGCTGGCATGCCGGTATTCTCTTTAATTCCCTCGAGAATGTGTCTGTCATTCCCACCAAAACGCCAACGATTAAGACCACAAAATGAATTGTGCCTTCGGCATATAACCCTCGCCAACAAGCTCTACATATTTCGCTCGCTTTTCCCTTTCTTTGATTTCGATGGATGTTAGTTTCTGCTGGAGCAGAGACCTGACACACATCGAGTTACTTCGCTTATCCAACAGAAATATGTCCGGCTCCATTAGCCTAGAGTCGGATGATAGAGGGGAAAGCATCATTCCAGTAGATACGACATTTGTTGTTTTCCACTACTGTTTCAATGCATCGGAAACGTATTGGAGCATTGATGATACCGTAGGAAACTGCGTGTATCGGGCAAGCTGATAGTAAATGCATAAGCGTCTCAGGATGCTGATGGCAGGGCCTGCAGCTAATGTCAGCGACGCTAGAGAATTGACTACGTTATGCGAAGGTGTTAATTACTCCATCCTGGCCGATCTTAGGAACCCGAAAGTGAGTCAGTCTCCTAGACAGGTCCAGAGTCTGGAGGTGCCTGTAGAACAATCAATGCTGCGGCTTACTTAGAACTTTTGCTGTTCCGCTCTCTTAAGCTGGGATTCCAAGACCTCCGGGTCAGCTTAGTAAGTGAATGCTGGTTATCTGCATCTAATGTGAATGTAAGACCTAAACGGTCTGGCGCTTGGTCTGCGCCTCTAAAATCCCTCACGAGTCTCAGAAGTTGGTCCAGGGGATTGGCGATTTTGCAAGTATCGCCCAAGACAGCAATGTCGTTTACGATTGGCTCAGTGGCACTCAATAGTCGAGAGTATGCAACCCGTGATCTTATTACACGTTGTTGAGGCAAGTAATCGATCGGTAATTCTTGGAACCTCTCAAATTGCCCTTTTTCGGTGTTAAAGTTGTTCTCCTTCTTGCTAGATGTTGATGGGTGCTGGAGTGCTTGTTTTGACAATAGTTTTTGAAGTTGATCAGTGCGGGAGTGTCTCCTTGTAACGCTGTCGGTGTCTCATAGATTTGCGTCCAAAAATTTTCTCCTTCTGACAGTGGCAGCGGTTCGTTTATGTTGGGTGCAGAGCCCTGAAATAGACTAGAGGGTTTTGTTTTGAAAATGTGGTTATCTGTGATGCCCATAGCCTTTTTGTGGTGTTGCAGCCGAAGTTTTACAGGATTTTTCGTCACTTTCCCCATTAAAGGGGCTGTTAGTGGAGAAGGAATCTAACACACGCAGTTGGATATACAGCGTTGTTAATTGTTGTGCTATTACGTCAACATCTTGTGAAAGATCTTCTGCCTTATAATAAAACTTGGTATTGATCTTAACTGTTCGGTCCATAGGGTCATCGTCGGACGTCATAGGGGCAACAGGGATATCGTTTTTTTCAGCTTTCCCTTTCTCTTCTTGTTCTGAGAGATTGCTTAGTTCGGGATGCTTTAAACATCAGTGTGCGTGTATCCTTCTCATATAACCCCTATTGACTGGCTCGCTTCCTTCGTATGAATCTAGAAGAACGTCCCTGAGATCGTCCGTCCATTCGAGGCGTCCAGGTACATTACCTGGGTCGTGTAAGGGCATCCGTCCACCTGCTTCCCCATCTTGCCCATCATCCCCATCCCAATGGGGTGTATTGTGAGAAGCTTGCTCATCATTGTTGCCCGTAACCGCCCCGATTTAAACCCAGTGTGAGTTGCGCAACTCCTTCAAGCTTGCTGGTAGTACTGTCTTGCTTGGAGAGACCCATAGAGATAAAGTAAAAAGTTTTTAATATATAAAATACAATATTTAATAATAAAGTGTTGATTAATTTAAAAGTGATTATATACAAGGTAATATACATCAACCGGCTTCTTTTGTTCCTCGCAGCGGTAGTGAATTCAATCAATTTTATTTATGTTGTCGTTCCCAGCCTAGACGTATATCAATTTGAAATCGATTGGACACTATTTTGAGTCGATTAGCATTCTACTACGTTGCGGCGGTCTTCTATTCCCGAACGGTTTATTCACGCATGGCGTATAGTAATCAAATTCGGGCAAACTAAGATTGTGTTTAATTGGCCGCGATAGAATGTGGAGACCTCCTCGCTCTCCCGATTCTGATATTGTAACAACAGCGTCTCCCAAACATGGATAATTAATTGATTCTCCTCTATAGAGTCGCATTCGGATGCCGGAAATGTATATATGCTCGCTCGCTGCAATTTCATTGTGAGCCGAATGAAACATCTCGTGATATGTGCGTGTGTGTATGTGTGGTCTCATTTCGCTCGGGATTATTTCGTACAAACATCGTCGGACGATGTAGGGGAATTGAACGTTGTTGAAATATAAGGATAATTTAAACAAACTGAGCATTTAAAACGGCAACTTATAAAAACACTTACAAGAAGTGTGTGCCCGTCGATTAGTTTATTTAAAGGCATTGCTCATGCATTTTCGATAGTTGAAAACTGAATAGGAGATTGATGTTTATTAATTATTTTAACACGCTTGTTCATATCTAATTCATTTAAGTATCTATTCATTTTTAGATAAGTATGTATGGAGTATATGTATGTAAGTATGGAGACATTTTATATTCATCAAAATGCTATGTTCTTATTATTTTTTATAATATGTGGAAACTTTCAGATTGTTCACATCTTTTTGATTGTTTACACCTGACTGATACTACTAACAACGTAACCCACGTCCATGAAAAATTACACTAAATTCCAAGGAAGTATAAGTAATTAAAAGAATTTCCTCTTTGAGAAATATGAATATTAATCTGAATCAATCCAATTTACAAATTAAGTGGGGCGTAAATAATATCAACATTGCATTCATTATGTCACTACATCGCAAAGATTTTTCCTTAAAATCTGATATATTACCATTTATTCTTGAAAAATATGCGTTATATGACAATTTCAGCTTAATGAGTATACGGGAACATACACATTAGCATATTTAGCGAAATCGACTACACCAAGATTGTGATCATCGGTCAACACTTCTTTTGCCACCATGCTCTGAAGTAACAAGATTTTCCTTCGTCTTCTTCTTCCATAACACCCTGTATATTTTTATTCACCTATCCACTGGTTAGATAGCAGATTACTAGAAACTTAGCCCAGAAAATAAATTCGGTTAATTGAAAATTTGAAAATTAAATTTTAATATTAATTAAGGCCCCCATAAGTCGTTTGACATTTTGCCTGATAGTCGAAGGATAGCATTTTATTTGTTTTTATAATCGGCACAAAAATCCAATCAGTAAGTTAAGGATTAGGTGAATGCGCCAGGCAATCGAGCGACCAACTTTATTATTTTACAAATCTTTAGCTTAATTTCGAATACGACAGTTTCGTAGCGGAAATTTAATCGATCAATATTTAAGAGACGAAGTATATAATTATTCAGTTGCATCATTTCAACAACATAATTGTCATTTTAATGTAATAAATCAGTATCAGATAAACTTCCATTAAAATCCTCCGCAGAACGAGTATCACACAGAATTCCTTACCATGATTGCTCGTGTACACCACCTGGATAATTTAACGCTCTTGTCTGGTCATCTAGCATTTACAGCGCGTCCTATCCAATTTATCAGTTGATAAATCGTAATATATGTAACGCCTATTGTACTATATGGGGTGTAATAATGTGACCCCAATAGTAATACCCAACTTAGCAGATTAAACGTATATTCAAAATATTATAAAAATAAATAAAACGCGAACAGCAATAACAAAATCAATTTTCTGACTGGCCAACAGGACCGATATTGTTAAGCAACTGTCAACGAACAACAAAAAAATAAATTCCACAAGCTGACGCTCATGATTACTATACAATGCATCAGAAAGGCACTCTTTAATACAAAATTAATTAGAATTAGCTTAAAATTATTACAAGTCTTATTTTATTAGTTGTACTTCTTATTCTGTCTAGATTGCTCCAAATACCTCAGCTGTACAGCTGAAGGTATGTAGGAATCCAACAAACTCTTAGGCTCCCTTTTGATTATGTACTCCTGCTGCTTTTGATTCCGAACTTTTGACGGTTGAATGTGCTTTTGGCTGCTTGATATTGTGGTATATTTCTTGGGATTTGCTACTGTGTACTTCACGCTGATTGCAGGAATCTGATGGTAATCAGAATAGACGTCTTGGTATTTCTGATCATTCTGAATTGCATTTGGGGAGTACTCTGATGAAGCTGGTAAGTACATGACGTATTGAACACCGGCTGAAAGAAAATATAATATATATAATATAAATATAAAATTTATAAAATTATACCTTTGGGATCAACAACAGTTTCCACGGCAGTCGTGGGAGCTTGGTACTGTTGTACGTAATAATACTGTGGAACTTGAGGGTAATACTGTTGGTTGTCGGATTGAGATAATGAATTCTCTGTCAAATAATGTACGTTCTCGTACTGTTGGTAATGCTGAGCAGGTTGTTGGTAAACCTGAGAAGTTTGCTCGTATTGTTGCGGCGCAGGCTTCTGGTACTGCTGGAAACCTAAATCTGGCTGTAGGTATGGATATTGCTGAGGCTGTTGGGGAGCATGTTGCTGAACGTTAGAGTAATCTTGCGAATAGTCTATGTTCGCGGCATATTTATTAGGCAGTTTATATTGCTGGAGTTGATAATTTGAGCCGGGTTGTTTCACCCTTATCGAATCTTGAAAAAAAGTTTGCTTTGGTTGAGTAGCTGCGTAAGATTCTGCCGTTCTGGTTGGAACGAATCCGAATTTAGTTGGCGAAGACACTTGATTGTTTGGCTAAAAATTAAATCATTATTTACATAAAATTACAACTAACTTAATAGTCTTGTAGCATTATGATCCTCACTTACTTTTGTTTGAAGAGTATTCGAAGCTCTGTTGGTTGCCGAGTAATCATCAATATTTTCTAAGCTGATTTTTTTACCCTGACCAGCGGAATGGGCCGCTACTATTAGGTGACAAATCAGCAGAAATTTTTTCTAGAAAACAACGTCAGAGAATAGTGGCTTCTGATATATTTACTATATTCCATTAAACGGTTTTAATGTTTCTGTTCGCTACTGGGTTTAAGAATACTCTAACTCGATTTTTATGTCACCAAAAAGATATGAATCTAAATAAAATGAACTAACCCGTTTCGGCGCAATATTGACAATAACGACATCCGTTTGAATTACTTTCTCTTTCGTCTAAACGTTTATCTGATTTCACCAGGTTTTGATCTCGTTTTTAATTATTACCCCACCCACTGAGAAATGGGTTTTCTTTTGTTGAATGAATTTACAATATTTGGTTTATGTCAAACAAACAATTTGCACAATATTTTTGAGATAAAGTGATGCCATAAATTAGAATTAGAAGATTGGTTCAATAAATGCAGTGAAAAATGTTTTAGTCCTTTTAAACTGCGATGATGCAAATGAAACGTAATTTTCGAAAAATTTTGTCTTAATTATGCTAAGCCAAAGAATCTCCATGGACCATAGTTTGGACCATCAATATTATGAGTCTCAAACGATAATAGACAACACAAAGCAACTTAACAGCGACAGTGGCGAAGTCGAAATGTTTTGTTTTATGCATGTTTTATGTATTTTTTTCTATTTGACTTGATTTAAAAATCGATTCAGCAATAAATAAATGCTTTATTTACGTTTTTTAAATTTATTGATTTATTTGTGTGCGCTCTGAAGCTTTCGGCACAAAAACAACAAACTGCCAGGTTATAAATTTCTTTTCCGAAGTGCCTAAGAATCAGATTATTTGGATTTAATACTTTTACTCATTGTTAGTTATTTTTAACAGAAAATTGCCACAAATGATAAGTTGAATATTATGAAAAATGAAAGTCTTGACAACGAGCCCTTTTGTTCGAATGGCAAAATAAATAAAAGTTTCTGTTAGAAGAATAATCAGTGACGCCTGATTATTAATCATACACATCGATCGCTACTACGGCGCACTAAACTTAACAGGCCTCCGCAGGCAAAAGTAAAAGTAAACGACACGGACAAAAAAAAAACGAAAAACTCAACGATCACCCATGCACTTACCATCTTAAAAAACGTATCCGTAACACTTGGTTGGAATGCAGCAACAGAATTGGCAGAGGATCCAAGCGCGGCTCCGAATTTAAAAGCTTTCACAAGGTGAAGGTGGAGAAGCTCTTCAAGACGACTTCCGCTGGCGCACCTTACCGCGCGGAGACGAACTTGTGGTCTCGCTTTGGGGTACGGAATGACAAAGCGAATATTATGCTATTTTTTAATTAGTTACCAACTTAGGTGTCGTCAAAAATTGCCGCTATTAATATCGTACATTCGAATAGGTGCTACTTTCAAATCGAATTTGGGAAAGGAAGACATTAACAAAGTTTTAACGGGGTTTATAAATAAAAATTGTCCATACACAGAGTGATTTAAATAGAGTACTTTAATAATGCATTAAATGCAGCGTTGACGGGTGTCGCTGTAACCAATAGGAATTTTTGAAGTTAGTTCCAAGTAACTTTTGTTAAAGTCTGTCTCTATGTCCTTAAGATAAGTCAATAAGTGCATTTTTAAAGGAATTTAACTTTTCTACGGCGCATATTATTGTATTTTATTATATATCTATTGAATCAGTACATACCGGCGAATTATACGTATCCACGCTTATCTACAAGACTCTTCACATACATGAAGTTTGAGCCGAACAAAAATTTGTGACACGTTTATGTTAACATTTCACTGAAAATTTTTATATTGTCATACAACAAATATAAATCAATTCATTCTTTATGAGGGGTTTGAGAGCAACCGTTCTGACGGTCGCGTGACACTCGCCATTTTGCAATGTGTGTAATGTAATAAAATTATAAGAATATTGACTATAAATTATTTTTAGTCGCTTAGTTTTGTGAGTAAACAAGTATCCGACCATTAGTTTTTCGGTATATTTTGGCGAAATAGCACAAATATATTTTCTGAGTCTCATGTCATGCTACCTTCAGAACTGAGAAATGTCAAAATACCACCAGTGATTAAAATCCGATCGCTTCCAAACCCTTCACGAAAGTGTCGTAAAAGCAAGTAAAGTAAAATATCCGAAGTGACTAGACATGATTGATCGGTGTTAAAGAAGGAAGTAGGAAGAGATATTTTCTAACCCGAATTTAGATTTTAATTAATTCCTTTTTAAAATTTTGTAGTTTGTATAGTTTTGGACAGTGTTTTGTTGTAATTTTCCTTGAAAATCATATCTACAGAATAACTACAATAACAATTTTTAAGGCAAGTGGCATCTCTTGTTTGTGTTACTAATAAATGTGTACCTACGACTCTATTGAAAATTATCTCCCATTTCATGTATTCCTTTGTTTAAAAAAAACATTTTTTCTGATGTTCGTGAACAACCATTGAAATAAATATTTATTGACACATTTTTTTATTGTTTGCCCTGATCTTTTTAGGTTCTGCGAAATCGCTATTTATCAAAATATATATAATATACATACGTTGTAGGAAGGTTTTTCGAAATACTTTCGAAATGCAGCAAGTGACCAGCTTGATTATACTAAAGTAGACGATATAATTCTTCCTGTGTTTGAAAATTTTCTATTTCCCAGGAAATCTATTTGATGCGTATTCTGGAATTATTCTCGAATTATGAGAGGAGACCGCATCCTGTTCAAACTAAATATTGTTGACCCCGCTAAGTTAAAATTAAACCATTCCCCCAAATCATGTCGAAGCATATTTAGAAGTTAGGAATTCGTGGTAAAAAATTGCCCAAATATTGCCAAAATTCCTGCCCACCTGTTAGAACCAAAATATGGTTTTGGGGCCTAGCACTTTATACAAACGCAGACTTTGTATTGATGATTGATTGAAGAAGAACTATTTTATTGACAATGTTTTTGGCCTTTGCATTTTCTTGTATACTACTCATAAAAAGCCTTTCGCTATATATTGTCGCCACACCTTGTTTCTTGGCAGAAATTTGTATTGGGAATATTTGTTCTTATGCAAAAGAAATGGTGGCGTTCAATTTACTTGTTATATGATTCTAAACGTTCTTGTAGGCTGTTCGATGACAGCTAACAGTAGATTATTTTCAGTTTCCTGATTGTATGGTTTACTTATTTTAGTATCTGGTTTATAAAATGAGCTATACTCCAATAAATTGGCAACCTCTGTTCCAAAGATCTCCTTATATGATATATCTAGAAAAGAAATGAATTTTTATATTTTTCTAAATTGCTCAAAAAAGATTTTCGCTCGAATCATTTTGCTGGCAGGTTCAAGTCTCTCATAAAATTCTGGGTTTTCTGGATCCGCCATCGTGGTGGATAGGGGAAGGCTTCCTAGATATGGGTGATACCGAAGAAATTAAGTACTCATGGCGAATCAAAAGCCAGCCTAGAAATGGACGGCAGCATTTTCACTAACGAACTGAAGCACATGGGAAATGATGCTGGACTGGTTCAAGTAACGACGGTGAAGGGTTCGACTGTAATAGTGTTAGATGGCCTTCATACTGTGATGGGGAAGGCAACGGGAAACAACAACATTTATTCTCTCGCGTATATCACAATCCCCAGCGGAGATGACGGTGCTTGCCATGAAATGGATAGACCCAATGTACAGGTCCTCGAAATTTGTGAAACGCGATGGTCAGGTTCCGAATCGATTATCTGTTATTCTATATCGACATGGAGTGAGCAGCTTACTGAATTGAAACATGGCGCCATCAGTCACTAATTTCGCTCATTATCCGACTGAGGCGTGCTTATACAATTGGCAGGAAACCTGCGAATCTAAACTTAATTCAAGTATACGCTCCGACTGGTAACAGACCACTAGTTGAGGTGGAGGAAGAGTGCGGTGAGATCACAGACTTACTAAACAACACACAAAAGGTCGATGTTAGTAGAACAAGAAATCCAAAACCAAAAACTGATGTGCAACAAGAAAGCTGAAACAAGAAACGAAGTAACACATTCTAAAAGAAATAAATAGCATACGTAAAGAAATAGCGATTAAACACCTTCAATCTGGAACTAAGGAGAAGAAAGATTGGATGACGAGATATTTTGGAACTTATGGCCAATCGTCGAAAGTGCAACAGAACAACAGAATACAGACGCATTCATGCAATTATTTAGCAAAAAACAGAAAAACAGAAGAGGACTGGATGAGGGAAAAATGTGAAGAATAGAGAACTTCCAACTAAAACACGTTAAACTTCAACCGACACAAAAAAATAAATTAACACCTTCTCAGACACAAAATATACAATTTACCCCAGCTAGCAATTTAGAGAAAGCTGGAAGGCAAGCGTGGTTTAGAAAGAAAACGTCTATCTTGGATGCGGACTATATTGGACACCCCGTATACACAAAGTCGGCAGTGATTGGACGCTGAAAAGGAAAATTAGATATACACACACTCTAATTTCTGACCATTAAACACATTCACCTTGGCTAATCCCAATATACAACGCATAATTTATTATTATAGCCACAGAAGACACCAAATACACCGACGACGAAGAGAAAGTAACGAGACCAAAAAAAATGATTTATTAATTTAAGAATTTGGTGGCGATACATATATGTCGTAATCTTGTTTAAACGGGTTGGGTTGCCTTTTCATTCTGTTGTGGATATAATTGCCCATCTTATTAAATATTCAATCCGCTGCCACACGAATAATTAAATGATTATGCTCATTACGTTCTGGCTGAGTTCTTTTATTCGGATTTGTATACGTTACGAAAATATTTATTTAATAGGACACGAAATTGACATATTGGTCCTCCCATTTTAAAGAAAGTAGTCCTTTAAGCAAAGTATTTCGTAGTATTTCGACATACGCCGTCTTTTGGTTTGCTAGCGGACTGTTAATTCAATGGAATGTATTGTTTGCAAAAGGATACATGTCAAGTATTTCTTATATCGCTTATACGAACTTCATATATTACTATTATATAGATTATTTAAATATGTACTGTACTAAGTAGCATTGTAAATACTAATTTAGAATATACGAACCTATCCGTTTCCTGTTTTCATTAACAGTTATTGAAAAAAATTATACTTACTACGATTGACAGTACAACTCGTAGTCAATGACCTGTTTTCCCCAATACAATTTGTAATGTTGTAAAGCCAATAGCGGTGTAATAAGTCGGGTAGGAGGTCTCTGAAACCATCAAATTTTTTTCTATTGAAAACAGCAAATGGTTGCTTTGAATTACGAATCTTTTAACGAACACGCAGTTACTGAAAATAACCTAGTAGTAGTGATGGTGCAGCTAACAAAGCCAGCAAGTCTAACTTTAAATAGTCTACAACAAGAACAATTGTACCCTAAGCTACCAGGTGAACAATATAGTCGGCTTCAGTTTAATATTTAAATATAATTGACTAAATTCATTGTGTGATTCAATATAATTCTTCGAAAATTGGGATTGGGGGTGAACAGATTTCAGATTTTTAGTCACAAATTACAGACAGACTCCTTTGCAAAAATAAGGGTAATGAAAGCCATCACTTCAATCGCGCACAGGCCATAAATGTCTGTTATGGACATGTTCACATAATTATATTATAGATATTATAAAAGGGTAAATTATATTCTATAAAAGATTTTTCTACTCCCGTGTGTAAAATGGCTAATTACACACGGATCTAGTGTGCTGGAACCGTCACCTTACCACATCGATTTCGTTTCCCACGGGATTTCGAACATTTCCGGGATTTTACCGCACGGGTTTGGGAGCAATAGGATGTTTTCGCACGGTTTGAATTTTGACGTTTGTCAAAAATGTACCCAAAAACTATTACAAAGAAAAATGTTATGCAATTTATCAGACAATTTAAATACTACGAGCTATAAGCGACAATTAAAATCTAGTAAATAAAGTGACATTTATTATTTGTTTCTCACAGAAATTTTACATATCGTTCTCATGAACTATAGTGTTTTTACAGTTTTTATATTAATATCTTACCAAGACCAATTGTACGATTTTCAAATATCAATGTCTCATCAGTACAAACAAAACAAAATTGAAGGTTAGGACCTGCATTTTCTTGCTTGATTTAAAAATTTTAATCCTCTTAAATCCTTGGACGATTTTTCTTCCAATTACAGTCGTTTTCCTTAATTAAACTACCCAATGATCAGTTGAAAAAGTTAA